CAAAGCAAAGCAAAGCAAAGCAAAGCAAAGCAAAGCAAAGCAAAGCAAAGCAAAACAAAATAATAAAATAAACGGTAGTTTGTTTAGGGTTGCCAGACAGGACAGGAGCTTGAAACATTAATAAATAATGTGGTAATAAATAAACAGGTGTGTGTTTTTACAACGGCTTCAAATATGGATCATCCAATCAGAAGACAGAAACTGAACTACCCACTTTATGATGCTCATTTTACTATCTGCATTTCACCCAACACCCCTTATAATTTACAAGGGAAACAATAGAGCTTTATCTTAATTAATGAGTCATCACTCCAACTGCATTAGCAGAAGTAAAGCAGAAATACTCACTGTACAGAAGTCAGTGTTTACGTTGACTTATAATACACTGTATTTAGAAGAAAATGACATTTCTATAGACCCACAGAAAAGCAAACACCTGCACAGATGGATCTGTGGGCCATTATTTAAGCATTCCCTTGTGCTTTTAGTACTGAAGTACATAAAATATCAGTTACTTTAATACATTATTATGGACTGTTTTAACTTTTACTCAGTCAGTTTCCAAACAAACATCGTTACCTAAGCATGACGACTGTGTACTTTATAAAATTCTGCTGAATTCTATTCTTGTCTACCCTGTTTTGAGAAGTCGAGTAACAACAGTAATTATGCACTATCGTGAAATTGATATAGGGTAAAGCAGAAAGGTTTTTATTGCTCTGCTGTCTGGACTTTGAAGGTCAATAGACTACTGCATCTAAACTACTGCAATTCATAAAGTAATAAACTGCAGTATTTTAAACATCTATAGGTTCTGTTGAAAACTGATGTGTGTTTACCCTGGTAAAGGCTTTGCAGTGGCTTCTGTATGACACTGGTGTAGTTTTTGAAGTCGTCCTCTGTCAACACACCTCCTTTAGCTTGAACCTGGCCACAAACACACACATAATATTAATATTATCATACGATCTGTTAAATGTTGAATGATCGGTTATTAAACAGAACATAAGAAAATGGCTAAAACAGTTTAAAAATCCAATGTTTGAAAGATTTGAATGATCTGACAGGTCAGACCAGTGATGTTAAAAAAAATAAAACTATTCTAAATTGTTTTTATTAATTGAAATAAAGTTAACAAAAGTTTAAGTACTAAAATTACCAAACTAAAATAAAAATAAAGCTAACTTGAAATGTAAAAAAAGCACATGAACTTACTCAAACTAAAATGAAAAATATGAATAAATGCTCTAATAGTATATCAATAATACTAAAATAACACTGGAGACGTACCTCTGATGTAATTTCCTGAGTCAGATTCCCACTGTAGAACTCTGAGACTCCATTGGCTGCAATCCTGTCCAGAACGGCAGCTAAATCCAGGCGTTTAGTGAAGAGTCCCGCGAGTGGAGCCTGACCGTTCGGCAGGAACAGATCTCTGAATGCATCCGACACATTCTGCTCCTTCACTTCAGACAGCGCATCAGCTGCGAAAGATGGTGCCAGTTATACCAAACTGCTTAAAAGTCAACAAACAAATATTACATTTACAGTCTTACAGTGCACCAAAGAATAACATTCAGTGTAAATGACATGCGGGATGAAAGCTCACCCAGCTCATGCGTCACATTGAATCCATTCCTTGCCACATCTGCGGCCATATTGATGACATCTTTCCAGGCCATTCTAGAGGAGAGAGAAAACACTTTTCCATCAGCCATCATTAACCCTTGTGCTGTGTTGAAAATCCTTGATCTAATTTGGTGCTCCTTGTTAACAATGACCGGCCTTTTAAACCTCTCGTTATGCTATATTATAATGAAATACTGCATTCAAGATTTTTATCAACTTGTTTTCTTTCAATTATCACTGGTTTTGTATTTCTTTTTGGAACTGATTCATTGTAGGCCTCTGAGCTCATGCACCTCAGTGTGAAAAACGTTCACTCAAGTTTATTCATCTAAATAAAAACGACAGTGAGGCCTATGATCAATCAGTTCTTTAAAGAAATTGCAAAAAAAAAAAATGCTATTTGTTGTAGGCCGGTCATTTTTGAGCACTGGAGAACACCAGAAGTGAAACAAGGTGGGGGAAAGAAATCGAAATAAAAAAGCACAAAAAAATATTCAATTGTGTCATATCCTTTGTAAGCAAAGTCAGTAAGTTTTAGTCCAATGCAATAACATTAACTCACATTTTTGAGGAAAAAATCCTATCATACCCACTCAAAATTATAAAATGATAACTGATTAAAATATGGAAGGGTCTATAGGATCTTGAATTGTACCTCAGTCACAAAACCACAAGCAGAAGTTTCATTTCCAGATGTGTTCTTTTACACAAACAACTGTGCCATTATTAGTTAACACTACACGTGTGTGCATTACTGTTTTATCACTATTTTCTTGTTAATCACTGTAAAGCTGCTTTGAAACAATCTGTATTGTATAAAGCACTATATAAATAAATGTGTCTCGACTTGACAATCATTATTTTGTTTCTATGGATTTACCCACATTATAAGATGCAGTTACATTGGCGATATTTCATGGGTCCCTGTCTATTGTCAATAGTGTAGTGATGTATGAAACACAGAAGTCACTTTCAAACCAAGCAGTTTTCTGCTTTGGTCAATGTGATCAACTTAATAGAAATGACTGGATTTGACCCTTTATAAAGGTGATATGGTTTGTCAGTGCTTGGTTCCATTTCCTAATTAAACACCAACATGGATGAGGATATTAAGCAACACTGCATATTAGAACACATTTGTCAGGTTCTTAGTAAAATAAGCTGAAGTGTGAACCAGACTTTAGGCCCTAACAGTGAAATCTGTCTGCTGTGCGTGACTGCACAGCTCATCTTAAACTGTACCTTCCATAGAGCTGATGAGCTTGATGTAGTCCACTGATCAAGCCGGGAACAGCCACTAACAGACCTGACTAACAGACAGAAAGACAGACGCAGATCACTGCAGAGCAGGCGCAGTGCAGATACCGTGCTTGCATTATTAATTCGCTTTATCATATGACGCACTTCCAGACAAGATGAAAGCAGATGGAAATAAACCTTTACCCTTTGATTAACATGTAACATCATGTCCTGGTGAATCCCGGAGGGTGCCGTCTCGCGGAAGTCAACGACCCGGCTCTCATTCCTGCGGATGTCATGGACCAGCATCACGCCACCACTGAGAAGAGCGTGAGATACAGTCACTCACTGTTTCTCATTCATCACACACAAAATCAATTTCTCTAGCCCTGCACATGTGCCTTCCTGGAGTTTTTCACCAGTGAGTTTCCATGACCGTTCCAGTTATAAGTGATTTACTGGAAAAGGATGTTTTAAAAAATCCTTTAACAGAGATTTTTGGCCAGACTTTCGATATAACTTATTTAAACAATCACACCAAAAATGGACATTGTACACCTTTTCGCATTAATCTGTGAGCAAGTTTTACTCTAGACAAACACTCACAAAGAGAAATTTGAAATGTTTTACAGCAGTCAAGGTGCTGCAGCAATGTACATAATAAACCATAATCATGCAATTTTATTTAAATCATGTAAATGTATTCTAACAGACCCTAAAATAAAAGTTATAATAAGCAAAATATGGGCATCATAAACAGACCTTTTCTAAATAAAATATTTTTAAAAATTATATATTTTTTAAATAAAATATTTGAAAAAACAAAAAATCATACCTAAAGGAGTAGACTAGACAAACACTCACAAAGAAAAATATTTCAAATAAATACACATTTTGAAAAATAAAAATACATTCCCTACAATGTCCATAACTTTTGCTTATTTCTATTACTTTTCCAGCTCAAATCACAATTGATTGTGATTTCAAATTCACAAATCCTTAATATTTTCATTTTTCCATTACAGTGGAGCACTGTTTCTGCCAGTCCTTGTCTGTAATCTTTAAAGGGATATTTCACCCAAAAATGAGAGTTCTGTCATCAATTACACAACTTCCTGTCATTCCAATCCGACAAGTCTTTCGTTCATCTTCAAAACACAAATGAAGATATTTTAATCTTCAGTCCAGCAGATAACCAAAACTCTGACACTTCAAAATGTTCTTGTTCATCGAGACATGAATATGAATCAAGATTTTAAATCCAAGTCTTCTGACATAATCACTTAATATGTTGAACAGGTTTAATTTAGCCTTTTATTCACATATAAACATTGATCACATCAAATATGGTAAGTGGAAGATCAACGCTACTTGCTTGATGCACAAGAACAAACCTTATTGGTAAAGCGTGTCTGAGCTTGCATTTACCAATTTTTCATTTTTGGGTGAACCATCCTTTTAAAGGTTACCTTATAAAACAATAAGAACGAGCAACGCCTTGTTGTTTCTTCTCAATGAGCCCATAAAATCACTCGCCAGCACCTTCACCCTCTCTGTTCCTCTCTGGTGAAACGAGCTGAACCTCCACCTGAATTACTGAGAGACCATCATGTTTCAAGAAACAGCTGAAGACACTTTTAACCAATGCACACACACACACCCCGTATCTCTTCTCTTCTCTAGCTCGCTTCCTAATCTAGTTGTCTAATAAAACTGGCATTATGCAAATATTGTTGGCTCATTGATGAATTGCCTTGTTCCTCTTTTTGTAAGCGGCTTTGGATAAAAGTGTCTGCTAAATACATATATGTAAACAAAGACTGCTGTGAACCACTGAACTTGCACTCGTACCCGCCGATGCCCGAGGTGTGGGGATGGATGATGCCCAGGCAGAGCGAAGCGGCTATGGCGGCATCAACGCTGGACCCCTGTTTGCCCAAAACGTCAAAGCCCAGAGACGTGCAGCGGGCCACATCCGTCACCACCGCGGCTTGATTATACACCTGAGGACAGAAGAGACTAAAATAAGGAACAGTTCTGTCCTGTAACAGTCATCACCTGTTCCTCCGGACCATTAGGTGGCACTAGTAGCTCTACCATTTCTGTATAAAGGAAGGAATCAGTACAGTGAGAGAGAGACTCAGTTTGAACTGCACATGGTTTCTTGCTGTGCAACAAACAATCATGGTTTGAGAAACGTTTAGTTTGCTGCTCAACCGTAAGTTTGATGTTTTATTTTCACACTTTGTTGTATTTTGAAGGATCTTGGTGAAAGCTTATGAAGGTTATTTTGCAATGATTTGTATACCATGTTTGTTTGGTTTATGGACTCTGACTGGTTGTTCTCTTTTCGAGAGGATTTTTGTTTTGCCTCTTCTTGAGCTTAATTGCCGCAATACATGCTGATGCCTGCATGTTTACAACCATACTGCTGTGTGGACGCACAACTTCGGCGTTCTTTTGAGTGCATTATTGCAACTGCTCAAGGATTATACCCAAAGCGTTCCCAGCCTCCTACTTCAAGGACTTCTACACTACAGAGATCAGCTCATCATCACATAAGACCATTGACTTATCCATGCACTGCAAACATTGACCTGAACTGGTTTGGCTAATCTACAGCGTATGAGACATTCCACACTCAAGCCTTTGCACATTTCCATCGTTTCATTACTTTAGTTATTTTTTTGTATGTCAGCCCCTGTGCAAGTTTGTTTGTTTGTTTGTGCTTTGTACATTGTTGACTGTAAATATTGAGTGAAAAATACACATTTGGAAAACGATATTTATACTGTTTTGGGTCTTTATGCATTTACCTCAGAACGTACACCCTAGAACCAATTAGACCCTTTGCAAAGAAACTGGTCCCCCCTTTGTCTGGTATAGCAATCCCAGTTTTGAATAGCTGGTACAGTTATAGTCCTATTGGGAAAAAATATCTATCAAAAAAATCTATTGGAATTTTCCCCTTATTTTCACCTATTTTATCTTCCACCCTCCAAAATGCGTAAGTAGTACTCAATAGCCAGGTTTTCATCCAAAGCTGCAAACTTGTGCGCAAAATTGAAATATCACAAACACTTGCGAATAACCACAGTTTCCATCCAACGAGTCAAAGAGAACAAAATCGTCACTTTTCTGATAAACTGCCACCTAAATATCACTAAGAAAAGTAGGAGAACCCAATGAATACAATAATTTTGTAATATAATGAACTACTTGTGCCTGAGAGCGAGCAAATGAAACGCAATAAATGCTGTCATTGATTTCGGAGGTGGATGCTGCTGTTTGGGGAAAGCAGTCGTAGTTCTGGGAGGCAATTCTACAGAAATACTTTGACGACAGACTTTGTTCGGAATGACCATAACAATGTTTCAGATGCTGTGCAACGAGATCCATCCCATCATGCAAAGTCACATGACTTTTTTTTTGATGCGCATGGAGGAATTTGCTAAATGTGTTTCCATCTCCCATTATTTGCATGAACCCTTTTTCGCACAAGTCGAAATTTTGTAGTACTTAACAGCACCTGCGGGTCTCCAAAGTAGATCTGCATTATGAGGGCCACGGTGACCCCCGTGGCGAAGGTCAGGCAGGCGGTGATGATGACGGTCAGCCCGTCACGTGTGCAGGCACAATCCTGTGCCAGCGGGTCTCTGCTGGTCTCTCTCAGTGGAGAGACGTCCCGACTGGCCGAGGCAGAGGAGGGCAGCCGCTGCAGTCGGGCCGACTTCAGGAACAGATCAGGGTCTACACACAGAGACAGGACAGAATTTAGGCCACTGTGTGGACACTACACCAGACGGCACTATGATCAAACGCATTACCTGTGTCCTGCTCACTGAGGAATTTATCATCATCTCTGCATGATTTGAGAGTGTTGTCGGCTGAAACATCATCTTCTGGTAGTCTAGGGAAGCTGGTGATGCTCATGTAGTCCACAGGTGAGTACGCAGTGCTCAGAGCTGCATCCTTCTCCACCACCGTCACTCCCGTATCGGCTGCCGGAGTGTACATGATTTACCTGAAATCACCAACTGGAATTCAGAGCAATTCATTAAGCTGGAAAATCATAGCACTGTTAGTGCTGCAGGGACGAGGTATGTTTGTAGGCCGAAATCCGTAAACGAGTTGCATTTTAGCACTTCCGGTTCCATTGTCCTTAAAGGGCACCAATTATGCCACTTTTTACAAGATGTAATATAAGGCCACGTTCACACTGTCAGTTTTTGGGATTGACAACCGCATTTACTTACAGGTGTGAGTCTCGAAGTGTCCCGTTCACACAGCAGCTTACAGCAGCGTCTTGAATACTGTCTGTATGAACGTGCAACGGGAGTCAAGCCCGTATTCCTTAATGTTGTTTTTTTTTTTTTTTTTTTAAATCAAGACTGAAAAAGTTGCGGGAAACTTAATGGTGGTGATTTTGAAGTCATGTTACTGTGGCATAGTTCATTTATAACCTACGTCTAACTTTTTGTTTCTGGTTGTTGCATTTAGATTTCAAAATTCATAAATGCTGATTATCTTGAAAATAACATGTAGCCTAAGAGAGCTCATTTTCCACAATCCAAAAATAAACCAATGGAAAAATCCTGTTGGGTTTTTGCCAAGGGACCCAGGGTGATTTGAACTTTTGAGTTGGCCTTACAAAAATATGCCATAAATGGAGCACTCTGTTGAAAAGAAATAGAGTACAGGGCTAAAGCCTGTCTCATGCTGTCCACTTTTTTTCTATGCCCCATGATGCTTTGTGCAAATTATGGGAGTAACTTCCGTTCATGCTGTAAACAATCAGCAACAGGTTCACTCTATGAATGCAATAAGCATTTTCAAAAACTGGGTACAATGAGGGGACATTAAATGTGTAAACGCATTAACAAATTACTTTCAGCATACCATGAATAACTCCTAAAGATCCTCCTTCTGTCCACAGCAATATTACGGACGTGTTAAATGTTCGAACATAATTACGAATGTAATTCGTAACAATTAGATTTTACAGCATCCGTGTGAAAACAAACCTGGAAAGAGAGGTGAGGATTTGGGGAGAAAAAAATGAAAGATCCTTAGTGCATTCCAGGGAATTATTCATGGTTTATATTGTAAATTAAATCGGGAAAGCAGACCACAAATGCACAGTAGCCTGTGTTTTTTTTTTTTTTTTTCTTCATCTACTTACAGTGGAATACAAAGGAAACATGAAACACTCAGTGGTAGAGCATTGCGTTAGCAGCGCAAAAGGTCGTGGGTTCGATTCCCAGGGAGCACGCATACTGGTAAAAAATGTATAGCCTGAATGCACTGTAAGTTGCTTTGGATAAAAGCATCTGCTAAATGCATAAATTATTAAATTACTCAATATTAAATTATTAATATCACGTCACATTAATTTACCAAACCTAACGTTATTCTCCTGACTTCTGAAAATAGAAAATGAATGGAAATTTACAGCCCATTCAGTCAAAATGACGGACAAGGATTATTTGTAGCACAATCTTTTCCTCTGAAGTGATTTGTTGCAGTCTTTTTGAGTGGAACTTCCCCAAACTGGAAGTGCCTCCCATAATTTAAAGCACAGTAGGCTCGTTAGGAAAAAGGTGGATAGAACGGGGATCTCCAACCCTGCTCCTGAAGACCTACTGCAGAGTTCAGTTCCAACACACCTGTCTGTAATTAGAGATTAGCTGCTTGATGCGTGTTTAATTGGGGTTGAAGCTGAAATCTGCAGGACCGTAGCTCTCCAGGACCCCTGCTAAAGAACATGGTTACATTCAGTGTTGCCAATTTGGCGACTATTCTCATCTCCATCTGTATACAGTGGTTCTCAAACCTGTTCCTGGAGTCGCCCGACAGCTGATTATGAACGTCTCCTTTCTCTCACTCATACATTTCAGGACTCGGAGTCTCTACTAATGAGCGGATGAGCAGTCCTGCTCCAGGGGAAGCCAGAGTTGAGCTCTGGCCCAACACACCTGCCTGGAAGTTTCTAGTTACCCTGAAGACTTTGATTAGCTGATTCAGGTGTGTTTGACTGGACCTGGCTGAATTATGACACTATTGCCTTCTGTAGAGCTGCTTTACAGCCAAATTAATTTTGTAATTAATGAATATTGACACTGTTAGTGAACAATGAAAATTAACTCGAGCTGAATAATGTCACTATTCTGAAACTGTCGTTTCATGGATTTGCTGCATGATTATTATTATTATTGCTAATTCCTGTTTATTACTATATGAAGCTGCTTTGAAACCATCTGTATTGTATTGGAGAGTTTTATCTGGGATGTACAGGATTTTCTGTGCTGTGTTTCGACCTATTAGCTACTTTTATTTGCCTTCGTTTGACTGCATGTTTATATATGCGTATTCACTGGTAGCTGACACGCAATCTCTACCTAAAATAATTTAACACCGCATTTTGCTTCTCGTCTTGTAGCTATCAGTCATACAGCTTTTATGACCATATTGACCACATTGCATTTTCAAAAATGTCACATCACAGGACCGTTTTAAACAAACTAAGAGCTGTGAAAAAATGGTTGCCTGTAAGACCTAAAATATATATAATGCATTATATTTGAACCTAAAATCTTTAAAAATAAACATAAAAAAAGTTTTTGCATTTGCATTTTGTAAACTTCCTCTTTTAGCATAACTATAATGACTACTGACATTGCACCCTGCACTGAATTAACACTTCAACATCACTATCTAATACAAAACTCATCAGAAATCACAATTCATCACTTCCAGAGTAACATTATAAATCAAGGCCTCCAAATCTTCTATTCACTGACAGCAATGAAGGCCTGGTGCATGCTGGTTTATCGAAAGCATCGTCGGCCTATAAGGCGATATAGAGGAAAAACATCGACAGTCTGTCATGTAAAACACTCCGTCATACCATATAAAGCAGGATGCGCGTGTGAAAAGCGGATGAGTTCCCCTTCAAAATATCACTGTAGTGTTACAGAATAATCCGTGTCGAGAGCACGGATGAGGAGTACATACACGCGTTATCTGTAAAGATCACAATTAAAATAAACCAGAGATGCGCGTTAAACGGCACGCTCAACGCGACGTCGGTGAATGCCCATCCATCCGTGATCCGCAGATCAGAGCCGTGTGCTGTAAACGCTGTACACACAGCAGTTGGTTCACGCCGTCGGTGTTTTTGCACGGATACAGAGCAGAGAACCTGAAGAAGGATCAGCTGACATCTTCAACGCAACGTCAAAGACGCAGGTGTGCGGGCGTTAATTCACGCATGACGCGTTTTACGTCTAAAATAGCAAGCACACGGGTCTTGAGGTGTTTTCATTTGTTTCATTTTTTAACTACGTAGTATTTTTTTATCTTCCACCCCGCTTTAAAACGCGACGCTACTGCCAAAGACGCCCGTCTGATGCTTTGGTTTACACCAGCACAATAGCAATAATGTTTTAAATCCAGCGTTTTCATCATACTTACAGGTTAAATACGCTGTCCAGCTCTTTTGTCACATATTAGGCTACTCCAGGTGACTTTCTGCATTCATTCCTTGATGAATGAATCAAACACTGCGCATGCGTGCTAAGAGTGAAGAGAATCGGATCCTGCCGAGCAGGTTCCTCAACTCTGTGTAAGTACGTCAAACACTCCGTGTTTCTCAGAAATATGTCAGTGTAATTAAGTTTACAGTGTAGCTAACCCTTATTTTTAAGTAGCAGCACAAACAAAACAGTAGCCTACTGATAGTGTCAGGTTTTGCATTCATTCTATAAGAAACATGTTGTCAGGTGTATTTTTTTTTTACCATATTTATTCATTTTTATTTTTACATATATAAGCTATTTTATGTTTTACAGTCATGTTTACATCTAACATTCATTGTAGGCATTATTTCAAGTCGTGTGCATGAAGACAGAAGCACGCAGGTAAATAATGAGCCCAGATTGCAGTTGCATCCTGAGTGTTTATTGTTATTGTCTGGTACCTGCATTTCTGCATGGATGCTGGAAACCCATCGTAGTATTTTGCATAGGTCTCTGATGCCCATGTCATGTGGATGAAACAGTCGGCACATCATGAAAACCATGCAGAGTATTGAAAGGCACAATCACCATAGATCTCATGTACACCAATCATTTTTAATACTCTATTTGTACTTCGTTACTAAGGTGAACATCTCTTCTAATAACAACATGAGGAAAAAATACAGGCATATTTATTTTTGTAGTCTTTTCTCATTTCATGTTTTCAGTCAACCCTTCCTTAAATCACAAATAACTATCGCTTCCACTACGGATATCATTCTAGTCCCACAAATTAAATGAATCATATTGAACACACACACACACACACACACACACACACAGAAAAACAACACAATTGCCCAGTTGTTGCGCTGAACAGCAGTGGTGGATCTGTTCAGAGGGCAGAGATCACTGAATGTACGTTCATTATGCGATATTGCCGTGTCCACTTCATCCAACATGTAGAAACAATGCAAATAGAAGACGACCTTCAAGTGGACGATGTTAAGGACCCTTGTACGGCTACAGGGCTTTGGATGTTCCCAGATACACCACTGACATTCGTACTGCACTCTCTGTGGAGTCAATATAATGTAGAAACAGTCCATTTCAAATGAAAACAAAGAAATAAAAGCATATTTAGATTTACATTATAGTTACATTATTTTGTTAATAGATAGCTTTAGATAGCCTACTACAATAATAGTTTTACAGATTTTGGCAGGTGATAGGAAAGACTACAAGAAGAACTCTTAAAATGATTCAACACTAAACTGACAGAAGAAATAAAAGAAAATTGCATGTAAAAGCAAATCCTCTTAATGCAAAACAACTCAATGGTGGTACTGACAACATGGCAAACGTTGGTTCCTATCATAAAATACCCAGGAAGAATGTGTACTCAAGTTTTTGGAGCAACATATGGTTAAATGATACCATGAAAACAGGAAGGTGATGTTTCAAAATGAAAATAACGCAAACACTGAACTGTAAATAGTTTGCAATTACATACATTTGAATGCAACTAATTGTTTACCTCTTAAGGTAGCTTTTTTCCCCCAACTCATGCATGTTGGCATCTCATTCACCATTGCAAACGAAAACAGCATACTGCTAAATACCAGGATTCTCCATAAAACGTAAGACAGTGCAAACTTCTCAAAGTCTCAAAAAATGTACAAACAGTCATATAATGATATACTTTAGTTACGTGACATGACATGTGGCCAAGTATGGTGACCCATACTCGGAATTTATCCCATCCAAAGTGCACAAACACAGCAGTGAACACACACACAGAGCAGTGGGCAGCCATTTCTGCTGCGGCGCACGGGGAGCAGTTGGGGTTTCGGTGCCTTGCTCAAGGGCACCTCAGTCGTGGTATTGAAGGTGGGAGAGAGCGTTGTACATTCACTCCCCCCACCTACAATCCCTGCTGGTACGAGACTCGAACCCGCAACCTTTGGGTTACGAGTCCGACTCTCTAACCATTAGGCCACGACTTCCCTTTAAGCACCATTGTTAGTCTATTCATTACTGAATAGACATATAAGATACACAACGTGGTGGATGCATTTCCTGTAAATGTGCCGAGAGTATTCACTGACTATCAAGGAAGAGCACATTTTAGGATTCAACGTATGCGTTAGTGTGAGTGCATGTGTGCTGGGTCCGTCAAAAGAGAGAGACGCTGACCCAGCAACCTCTGACAGACATCAGAATACAATGAAGATGTAAAGCACAATCGTATAATCGATATTTAAGAGGTATGATGAAATGCAAATAATGACATCTTCTGAAAAACGGATGTTTTGAGAAACAGAGAAATGGTCATGGGAAATGTTTTCGTTCTTTGTCTCTGTGGTCACAGTGATTTCACACAAAAGCATTAAGTGCTGGACAGGGGAACTTTCGAGCTACACTGAAAGCTTTGCAATGGACAAGCATATGATTTTTTTTTTTTTGTGGAGCATCAGGTCAATCTCACAAAAACTTGACAAATTGCATCCCAAAATCAAAAGTAACTATATTTTGCAGATTATGCAGCCATCTTGACAATTTTTTGTGAAATTCACCAAACAGTAATCCTCCATGAAGCAAATAAAGAGTCACAATCGATACTATCCTGCACATTCTATAAGCAATTATATCCATAGTCTACGGCAACCTCTCCTCAGCTCTATAAGTTGATCTGTAAAGACTTTGCACATTGCCCCGATACTCCTGCGATCGCTTCCTATTAGATCAGATGTTGACAGGGGGCTATCATGTCAGCTTTAGCTTCATGTCACATTTTAGGGAAATGCTAAACAGCTATATCCCTAAAAGATCATTGAAAAATAATAATGAATCTTCTTAGTAATATGTTGTTGTTGTTATACGAGTACTATCCATGATGGACCCTCTGTCAGTTTACCTGAAGGCTCTGTTTCAAAATCTAGTGAGCTAGATACCTTAAGAAGCTGCCTCAAGAGACATGAAATAAAACAGATGTCAATAGAGTTTGATGGTAACATGTTGCTAAGCTGTTTTCTATACTTTTTGGTACTGAATGAATTACAAAATACACAAGAGTTTTGATGCTTACGGTTGATTCCAGTAGAATTTGATGTTAGCATGTTGCTAAGCTAACGCAAGGCAATGCTCTAATAAGCACAAATTCATAACACACCTAAATATTGGGTGTAAATATCTATTTATAAATGCACTGGGGTATTTTTTCCCATTCAGACTATGTATAGAATTGAGTGCCCACTTTCTCCACCATCTTGAATTGATTTCTTCAGTGAAACTGCCTTTTCTTGGAAGGATACTGCCTTTGCGGAAGCACACCAATAAATGGTGTTTCCTAAATGCTGTTTAGATAGGCAACTCACTAGGTTTAGAAAGAGAGGTCATACAAAAGCAAGCAATTAAATTAAATTGTTTGGGAGTCGAATTACTTTTGAAAGTTAGCACCGCTATGCTGAAAATCAGGCAGCAACATCTACTTTGAAATGACCTCTTTACAAACATATCTGGCTTATATAAATTTGTCTTAATCTGCAAACTCTCAACTGCATGTATCTGTTTACTATTCTTGCTCACTCACACTATCTACATACTTTTCATTCTTGTTGTCTTTAAGTGACCTTTTTTATTGCTGTAGTAGCTTTTTGTTCTCTCAGTGTGATGTGATCTTAGGATCATATTTCCATGAAGCATTCAGTGGTTGGCTCCTTCTTTTGACAATTTAACCTGATTATGTTTCAACAAACAGTGTCAATGTACCTGAAGTGTCATTGTTATACATTTAGAGGGATGTATGTAAAGATACAGAGTTTACATGTGTCTCCTTTTCAGCTATACTCCCAGATACTGATTTAGGTGTTATTGGAGGTACATGGCCATTTAAGCAAATATATGAATCGTCTTAGAGTAATTGTGCTTGGTAGTGGGTTTCCAAATAAGAGTGAAAAGAAGATAAACTGGCTTGTACTCAAAGACAAACCTGATTAATATGAAACTGAATAACATTATGTACATAAAACCAGTAAAAGCAAAAGGAGAACTTGAGAAGGTAGGGGATTCATTGGGAGGTGTGGGTTTTCTTGGGGTGGGTTATAATGCCCTCAATGTAAATTTTAATACATCAGTGGCAGACGTTGCGCTGGCATGGTTGGTGCAGGAAGGAATTGCGGGTGTGGGTCGCGCGCCGTTGCACCTGTTCACGCACACGGTTTTGGCGCTGCATGCGGTTGCGTGCCGGGTGGCGACGCTCAGTGCGGGCTTTGGCCCTCTGGACCCTGGAGACCTGGGTGACTTTAGCCAGGGCACCTGCTTGTGCGGCTGCTCCTCGGGTCACCCGTGTGGGCATGCTGCTCCTGGTCATTACGGGCGCTGCTGATTCAGACATCCTGCTGGAACAGTGCAGATAGGAGGAGGAATGAGAAGCATTGGAGTGAGAAGCAAATGGACAGAATGGAGTGAAAATGAAATGAGAAGATAAGATGGAAGACAAAATTAGGACATTGTCCAAGTTTTTCATATTCAGCATGATTTTTATTTGGTGTAAGTCGGGGTGTCCAGTCCTGCACCTGGAGAGCCAAAGTCCTGCAGTGTTTATCTCTAGTTCGCTACAACACACCTTGATTAGCTGGTTCAGGTGTGTTTAACTGGGGAAGGAGATCAACTCTGCAAGAGGCCTGTGAGGACCAGGACTAGGACTGGACACTCCTGGTGTAAGTGCTGACATATCCTACAACAGGGGTGTCCAAACCTGTTCCTGGAAAGCCAATGTCCTGCAGATTTTAGCTCCAACTTGCCTCAACACACTTGCCTGGATGTAGGGCTGCACGATAAATCGAAACGAAATGCGATTATTATGTGTATCTTTCAGTGAAGCACGGTTCTGTGATCAGCAGTAAATCTCCATCCGAAGGCCAGAGGGCGCTCTCGCGAGGAAACACCAAATACGCCTAGCAGAAGAAACCCAGGAAATCCCTATAGCGGTTGCTGAATAAACAGAAGATTTAACTGCTTTCTTTGATTCAACGTGACTAATAAACACATGGCTATGGCAATATATGGTTTATCTGAGTTCATATTATTATCATTTTTATTATAATAAAGTATATAATAATGCAATGCTAATCGACATAGCCTTTATCACTGCTTAGAATACTATGAAATATGTTGCGTGCCTTACTCTGTGTAAGAAGCCACATCATCTCACAGAAGGATATTTCAAACACTCGGCTGACGTTATGAAGTGAGTTTGGAGTAAAAATATGTTATTAAATGCGGTATTTTCATGTGCTTTCAGATGGAGCAGCATTTACTACACAGAGCCGTAGTTTACTGAGAAGCTACGCAAACAGCTGTCATTATCGTGAACAATTTCTTCGATTTCATAATCGGTCGATTATATCGTCTGCGTTTTGCGTAGCTTGCTGCTCCATCTGAAAGCAGGTTATGGTGATTTACTACTAATCACAGAGCCTGCTTTACTGACAACATGTGCATGACAATCGCATTCGATTAATCATGCAGCCCTACCTGGATATTTCTAGTTTGCCTAGTAAGACCTTGATTAGCTGGTTCAGGTGTGTTTAATTAGGGTTGGAGATAAACTCTGCAGGACATTGGCCCTCCAGGAGGAGCAGGATTGGACACTCCTGGTGTAAGTGCTGACATATCCTACAACGGGAGTGTCCAAACTGGTTCCTGGAAGGCCAATGTCCTGCAGAGTTTAACTCCAACCAACCCCAACATGAACACGCTTGCCTAGAAGTTTCTAGTGAGTATAAAGATCTTGTTTAGTTGGTCCAGGTGTTTTTAATTAGGGTTGATAAACTCTGCAGGAAAGTGGCCCTCCAGGAACTGATTTGGACACCCCTGTCTTACAATATTTATTACATACAAATGTTGAATGCATTGGTTTATAGATGAACAACAGTGGTCATTAATAGCCAATTTAAGTGGTCAATTTTTTCAGTTAGGAATGTCTGATCTTCATGATATAGAGAATATTATTGCAGGGTACACATAAGAGGCAATGTACCAAATTTAGTAAAAAAAATCATCCACCAGGTGGTACTATATGTGAATTTCTTATAGGCTACATCCGAAAGCTGACTTGCTGCCCTTCAGGCAATGAATATGCAGACAGAAAGTACCTCCCATAACTCATTTTGAACAGGCTTCTGAGCTTAATAGTTTATTGATCTACAACATACAGATAGAAAGAACTCTGGTGATAACTAAGCGGATATTTAATTATGGTAGTACAAATTGCTTGTTAGAAATGACATGAAAAGTTGGTCAAAAACATGCATTTAAACACAAACTGACCACCAACTACATGTTTCAGGCACCATATTTATTTTTAGCTCAACTGTCACGGAATTGAATGCATAGCAAATTGAAATTGAAAACTGAAAATACGCCTAATGGAAACGCGCCAATTTCGCAAAAACTCCCATATATCGCAAAAAAAGTTTTTACGCTCGCATGAGGTGGTTTTTCAGGCAATTCGAAAAATTATTATTTCGCAAAATTGCAATGGAAATGGTTATTTCGCATTTACAGGTCACCTGGCGTACATAAAAGTCAAATGATCATTCTTTAATGCACTATGGCCTCAAAGAAACACCTCATACGTGGCCGCTCTCAAGTATAAGGGGCTTTTCTTGTCATTAATGCTTGGATAACCCCTTATTTACACTACATTATGGCTCTGACACGGCCACCGGAGCTGATCGCGGCCACTCTAGTCAATGATTGTGTTCAGACCAGCTGCGGTATGTTTCAGAAGCATTACACGCCTACATCTCCTTCGATTAAAAATAATGGCTAGTGCGGTGGCTGCAATATACGTAAACCTACCAGCACCTGTCACCATGACTTATCGCGAGAGGAAAAAAAATCACATTTTAGTTGCATAACATGGAAACGGTGGAAACGCCGTCATTTTGCAGTGTTTTTTTATCGACAGTTATAAAATATCTATCTGTAATGGAAACCCACCTATAGAACCCCTGAACTAGGCCCAACAAAATGTCAACACCAGCAAGCAATAAATCAAGATGTGTTAATCCAGGGGTGTCCAAACGTGGTCCTGGAGGGCCACTGTCCTTCAGAGTTTACCTTCTGCTTGCCTCAACACACCTGCCTGCAAGTTTCCAGTTTGCCCAGTAAGACCTTGATTAGCTGGTTCAGGTGTGTTTCATTGGGATTGGATCTAAACTTTGCAGGGCATCGGCCCTCCAGGAACAGGATTGGACACCCATGTATTAGTCATTCCATGTTTTTGTCCTAACCAACTGTGATGACAAGACATTTTGTCAGTCACCAGTGGCCTGTAGCACGAAGCAAGATGAACAAACTCTAAGTTGCAGAGTAAGTTTTGAGTTGACAAAAAGCCAACCCAGTTTAGACCAGGTTCACCGGGCTCACAAAGCCCGATACAAACGTTCTCTGTCAACTCAGAGTTTGAGCCAGAGTTTGTGCACTTCAACGTGTGACGTGCAGCAAACAGCCAATCACAGGGAACATGGAGAGCATCAGCAAAGCGCGAGAGTCAGCGCAATTCACTTTTCTGCTGAAGATTAAGAGATGTCGTTATTAAAAATGTAATAAATTTAAATGAATTTACAAGGCAGGAATAACACCTCTGCTGCAGCAAAAGTTTGGCAGCAGAAAGAAAATATATGACTATGCAAAGGAATCAAATAAATTTAAAGTTTAGTAATTTTAAAAGTTGGATATATTACAGCTTTTATATATATATATAATTTAAAGGGGTCATATGATGCTATTTTAAAAATCATTATTTGGTGTATTTGGTGTAACAGAATATGTTGACATGCTTTAATGTTCAAAAAACACATTATTTTTCAAATACTGTACATTATTGTAGGTCCTCTATGCCCCGCCTCTCTCAAACGGGTCATTTTATACAAAGCCCCTCCTTCCGACAAGCACAGTCTGCTCTGATTGGCCAGCTGACCGAGGGCATTGTGATTGGCCGAACACCGCAAGCACTCGTCGGAAATGTAATGTCCCTTACCATAATCGCGAGCTTCATCTTTCAAAATAAATGTAAAGACAGTAAATCAGTGCATTGTGATTGGCCGAACACCACAAGCACGCGTCGGAAATGTAACGCCCCTTTCCATAATCTCGAGCTTCAGCTTTCAACATAAATGTAAAGACGGTACATAATGTCCTTAGTTTTACCATCAGTTCAAGCCTGAAAGTAGAACAGTCACGTGACAGACACAGTGATGATACTCGTATGTATTTGCAGTACACAAGCCGCGGTTAAGAAAGCTGACTCTGTGATCACGCACACACACACACGACGCGATACATACACTACATGGCGCCAAAAATCAGTTCAAAATTTGAACAGTCAATAGCAAATACTTAAACTAATAACAAAACATACTTACAGTCGCTGATTCAGAACTTTAAATACGAAGCTTAAAATGAATTGCCACTTCATATAATAATTATATGAATATACTATATGAATTATAAACAATTACAATTAATATAAATATAATAAATAAGTACCTGCAAAAGTCAGGCTATTTTGTCTCTAAAATTCTTTGACTGTAAACTGCTTTAATTTGGAAGTGAGAGATACGGGGGAGTGGCTTCATGTAGCGCGAGTTACCATGGTGATGAAACCCGCTCAAAACCAACCCATCTTCTTCAGCCCGAAAACTCAGAGTTTGCTCAAACTAAATGTGAACTTACCTGAGTAAAGCAACAAACCCAAACCAAGTGACATCTCACTGCAGAAAAAAATGCAAACAGCGGAAGTGAAATTTACCTGACACTGCCATTCAGGCTGGTGGTGCTCTCTTCCACCGCAGGGAGAGGGCCAGCGGAGACGTACACGGACATGCTGGGGTGCTCGATGAGGAGGTCCTCCATGGGGCTGGCCTCCGCTGTGGCTCCCTCTGCAGTAAAACAGGGGGGAGGGGTGACAAACCAGCTCTCATCCATGCTGCAGGAACACGATCCCCGCTCGCTTAACAACACATTCACTTCTACTGACTCAAGGTGAGAGAAGGAGGAGGAGGGATGTGAGGAGGGATGAGGAGGAGAGCAGATGGAAGGGAAGGAAGGATGTGCCGCCTGTATCCTGCCTGCTCTAGTCCTGCGGTTTCTGCAGGTGGGAGGAGAGGGGCCGCATATCTGAGATGCATGACATTCACTGCGGGGACGGGCGCATGCTACTGAAGCTGCCTCTGGCCCATCCTCACCTTCAGTGAAGTAGGAAGTGATAGAAGACAGAACAGGGTGTGTTTCCAGAATATGAAAGGTTTGGTTGAAGCCATGCGAGTGGGGGATGCCAGTACCATGAGCACACATACCAATAAAAGGAAATCATTCAAATATGGACAAACGAGAAGAGATACAGAAACAACAGAAAAACATAGAAAATACTACCATTAGTTGCTTTAAAACCCTTTTAAATGATCATGATCTACTCACCATGTACTACTTTGTACTACTAAGTCCCAACAACTTGATTCCAAAACCTAGTGAGATGCCTACTTGTGCAGCATTTCAAATGGAAAGCGTGTCATTTCTAGTAATAGTCTGAACAGCCCAATGGACCTTTTCCACATTTCCAGGTTTCTCAGCAGCGGAAGTCGTCATAGTTGGGTTAACTTCGAGAGCAGTGAATGGGAGAGTACCACAAAAATATAATAGAGAGAGACTGATAACGGCAGTCAGAAGAGAGAACGATGTCAAATTTACCGTCCCTCCCATTGACGCTGCATTAGAAACACCCTCCCATTAGCGTCAGCTAGTTTTTTTTTTTTTTTTGTTGTAATTTGATGCAGATGTAATACAATACAAAGAATAGTGTTATAAAGGTACATACATAAAAAAAAAAAATACAAATATGAAAAACTTTGGAGGATTTACGATGCTGATGACCGTTAAACGCGTCACAGTCTTGTGACACTTACTCAACCATTGGCGACAGTTGGGAGGGACTATCGCGAATAATGGCTAAAAGAGGGAGATTGTAGCAGGAATTACACACTTCACCAAAACTCAGAGCCCAGGGGTTGATAGAGTTACCTGTTCATTAAAACCAGATTATTATTTCAGGTAGTTATGCTGACAGTTTTACTAACTTAGGGATATGTTGGTGCCAATAGCCTAGTAGGCAGTGTGCTGACATAAAAGGCCGTTGTGTTTGCGGGTATCCTGAGTTCGAATCCCAGACCCCTCGCTCTCTCCTACTTCGCTTCTTGTCTACTTTTGGCAAAAAAAAAAACAAAAAAAAACTTGCTCATGGATATTTGCTGCATTCAAATATGTCTACAACCTTGCTATATAGTATGTGAAAACAGCGCACCAAAGGAGTAGTATGCAGTAATGTTAAGAAAAAAATGGTAGGTGAGAAGTACCTGGATGACCTGTTACTTCTAATGAGGTTCTGGAGCACACATTCGATGTACAGTTTACTGTGCCGAGTTGCAAATGGCACTGATGCAGGCTCACGCAGCAGTGATAATATGGTGAATCTAGTATTTCTGAATTGTATTCATACTACTCATATTTATACTACATTGAACATAGGACTGCACGATAAATCGAAATGAAATCGAAATCGCGATTAGGCAGAAGCTGCGATTGTCATGTGTATCTTTCAGTGAAGCACGGTTCTGTGATCAGCAGTAAATCTCCATCCGAAGGCCAGAGGGCGCTCTCGCGAGGAAACCCAGGAAATCCCTATAGCCTAGCTGAATAAACAGAAGATTTAACTGCTTTCATTGATTCAACGTGACAAATAAACACACGGCTACAGCAATATATGGTTTATCGGAGTTCTTATTATTATCATTATTATTTATAATAAAGTATATAATAATGCAATGCTAATCGACATAGCCTTTATCACTGCTTAGAATACTATGAAATATGTTGCGTGCCTTATTCTGTGTAAGAAGCCACATCATCTCACAGAAGGATATTTCAAACACTCGGCTGATGTTATGAAGTGAGTTTGGGTTAAAAACATGTTATTAAATGTGGTATTTTCACGTGCTTTCAGATGGAGCAGCATTTACTACACAGAGCTATAGTTCACTGAGAAGCTACGCAAACAGCTGTCATTATCGCGAACTATTTCTTCGATTTCATAATCGTATGATTATATCGTCTGCGATTTTTTTGCGCAGCGTAGCTTGTCAGAGATCTACGGCTTTGTGTAGTAAATGCTGCTCCATCTGAAAGCAGGTGATGGAGATTTACTATTAATCACAGAACCAGCTTTACTGACAAGATGTGCATGACAATTGCATTCGATTAATCATGCAGCCCTGCTAGACAGTATGCGATTTTGGACTATAGCACACTGAGTCTGAAATTGTCGTATGCGTTTTTTTCGTATTCGTCATCCTTTCTTATCAAAATGCTTGTTACGGATGTGAAAACGCAGAAAATCGAACCTGATCCAAAAATTTTTATGATGGATGAAAGTTTTGTTGGCAGTGTGTAAACGTGATTGACACAATGTGAGGTTGTGTTTACTTTTTAACATGCAAAAATTTCAGACGAGAATTTCAAAATCAACTCCGTGTGCAATGACCTTATGATGGTAGTTGATCTGGAATAGAAAACCATGCTAATTTTGTTGATATTGCTATTTGTGCGATTTACATTCTTTGAGTTATTATATGCTGTATGGCACATTTTGAACTCAACGACACACAAAATTGAGCTGTGCAGCTACAAGTATTTATAGTTACATACAAAGAGTATGTTTTGGGCCTTAGAGTATCACATCTTTAGCTTAGCAAAATGCTATTTTTAGCATTTGATGATTCCTGTGGGCTTTGCCTGAGGATTGCTATTTGCATGTTATGCATACATGACTGTTAAAACAGTTGCTGGCTATGAAAAGCATTGCAGACCGGGTTCCATGGTGGTTGTGGTGATGCCTCACAAGCTGCCGTAAATAGCGAGGCAGTTCACTAGGTTTTGGAACCAAGCCGATTTTTCCAAATTCATAAAGATTAATTCATTACATTCAGTAGATTGTTGGGTTACACTTTACTTGAAGGGGTGTGCATAAGACTGACACGACACCTTCATAATCATGACATGACACCTACATAATCATGACATGACACGTCATGAATATGAAGGTTTTTTATGCATGTTTATGACAACTGTCATTAAGTGTCATTCGCTCAGTTATGTCATTTTTAATGCAAATATGACATTATTTGACCTAACCCTAACCTAACCCTACCCCTACCCTTACCCCTAACCATAGCCCAGATATTCATGAAAAGTCTCATGTCATGATTATGTAGATGTCATGTCATGATTATGAAGGTGCCATGTCAGTCTTATGCACACCCCTTCAAGTAAAGTGTTACCGATTGTTGCCTTTTTACTCCGACATACTCTTCAAACTTGAAACTAACTTAAATATAATTTGTTCCTTGCCTTTATTTAGTAAACTGTATAAATTTAGGTCCCATTAAAGGCAGAGTTTTGTGTTGTTTGTGTAGGACACTCACCGTGCAGATTGACCAGGAGCCATCCCTCTTCATCAGCCTCAGACACGCAGGGCTTCGGTCCCTTCAGATCTGGAGTAACTTCTTCCTCGCTTCCAAAGAACAAACTGGTGAGCCGCTGGAACATGGCTGCCTCGGAGGTCAAAGGTCACAGTTTTTTGTTTCCTGAGGGATAGCTGCCTTAGAAGGTTTTTTTTAATAGCTGTTTAATTAACTAAAGTTGCTAATTTTTGTGTTTTTTCAGTGATGTAACAGATGGCAGGTTGATCACAGGTGTATTGGCCTTTTTTGAGTCTTCAGAGAAGGCGCAGTGTAATATAAGGTCTCACTTGGTGCAAAGATCTACATTTGATAAAGACAGAAAAAAAGAAGAACAGAATTGGTCAAGAAAACCATATCATAAAATAACATTTCATAAAAATAACATTTAGCAACCTCTAGAACAACACATTTAGTGGCACTATGAGTATTTGGCTTTTTTTGTTTTTTACATTTTGTAATGTAATATAATAATGTGGTTTATAAATAATTTACACACACACACACATATATATATATATATATTAGTGCTGTCAAATGATTAATCGCATACAAAATAAAAGTTTTTGTTTACATAATACAGTATATGATGCGATTAATCACGATTAATCGTTTGACAGCACTACAATATATATATATATACACACACACACACTGCATAACGGAATTGGTATTTAGGGTGGAAATGTACTTTGTGATAAAATTCATGAAAATAATCATAATGGTCCTAAACATGCTACATTCTTTTAAATGCAATCTTTTTATCATGTAATTTTAGCTTGAAATATAACTGGTGCTTGTTAATTATGACTGGAATATGAATATGAAATATAACCAGTATCTATCTCTCTGTCTCTCTTCATCCACATCATGAATTAAATTTAATTATTTTAATTCATGATGTGGATGATGAACTGTAGTTCATGAACTACATGTTCATATAGACATGTATTATTTTATGTAAGAAGCTTATAATCTTATTTTTTGCATCTCATTCACTGAACTGAAAAAAAAGAAGTCCCAGTGGCTCCCCTGCAGGCGGGCTTTAACCACCCGTCAGTGGGCGGGGCTTCAGATGCGCAACCCTGCGTGGGGCCGACGTCACAGACGCAACTGACCCCGCCCTCGTTGGACTCGCGGACCGAGTATGAAATAACTGAAAGGAAGCAGGGTCATTCTGATAGAAATCAGCAAAAACAGCCCCGTTTATGACTATGGCTTTAGCAACAAGATATAAAAATAGTTTTTTTCCGCCCAAGATAAACCGAATGCATTCGCCAAAAACGAAAATGCGTTTAATAAAAATGAATTTATCGTACTGCTTGAAAAACAACACCGAATCCTGTGTTTACAGATGAATCCAAGGCAACCGTGGCCATATATTTGAAAAACAGTAAAGCAACAAGCGAACATGAATGCCAAACGCAATAAGAGCAGTGAACAGGAGCATATATAATGCGGAGAGAGAGAGAGAGACAGGGTCACAGCAATGACAGCTCGGATCAAGGGTATTACCAGCTCTCAAATCACTCATATAACCACAGCCGGTGTACACCAGCCCTAAAATCACATGCTCTTCAATAATAAAGCTGGTGGTTGATGGACGAGTTGCTGCAGATACAGGCAGATCACACATCTAACGCACTGCTTCTAAACGGCGACTTGAAAACACAATGCTGTAATGAATGCTATTTGTAAGCGACGTCTGTATGAACAGATCAGAAACCATCGACTGGCTTTGGTCTCTGCTGTGAATACGATCTATCGCGAGAGCAAAATAATGATGTCTTATGATAGGAATAACATACTGTTCATACAGATCCATTTATGGACAATCTACAGCTCGTGGCAGCTGTTATTAGCGCTAGCTTTCTACAGGCAGGTCTGCTCTAGTCTCAACAGACGGACTGAAGTCTGCTACAAAACAGAAGAGATTCAGCATCTTACCTGCAAGATTATTCAAGCTGTAAACGTGACGACCACACAATAAAAACAACACAAATCTTAAAGCATAGCTTTAGGTATTCTTTTTGTATGAGGTAGTCATTTCACAAAAAACGAAAATGAAAAAGTCTTTCTTCTCAGAAGAAATCTGCGTGTAAATGGTGTTTACACGTCGCTTCGATCGTAGCATCTGCAGCTAGTGTGTTTCCAGCAGATACGGTTAGCTGTCATTGCTTCAGCTGATCCGCGGATCACAATAGAGGACGTTCAAAACAGCTGAGTGTGACGTCACGGCGCTAGTGGCAACGGCCTGACTCCGCCCACTCCGGCCGCTGGACCAATCAGAGGGTTACACCAGAGTGAAGCGGTGGGGCTTGGGCAGATCGAGGTATCATCAAAGTCATTGTACTTTAACAAATTGCTTATGAAATCGCATACATCTACATTTAGCCTTAAAGCGGAAAGCATTTAGTATAGCTTGCATTGTTTTATTGTGTATAGAATAATGCTGAAAAAGAACAAGGTTATTAGATGTTTACACTGTCAATACAATTATTTTTATCTAGCAAAGTTGAAAGTTATTTAAACTGTAGTCAGAGATGTGTAACCATAAAAGATTCTGACATAAAGGCCAAGCGAGCTGGTATGAAATGAGTTCACAGGATTGCATCATTCGTTTGATTATATGTGACCCTGGACCACAAAACCAGTCATAAGTGTAGATGTATCATACAGTGAATAAATACGCTTTCCATCGATGTATGGTTTGTTAGGATAGCACAATATCTGGCTGAGATACAACTATTTGAAAATCTGGAATCTGAGGGTGCAAAAAAATCCAAATATTGAGAAAATCATCTTTAAAGTTGTCCAAATGAAGTTCTTAGCAATGCATATTACTAATCAAAAATTAAGTTTTGATATATTTACGGCAGGAAATTTACAAAATATCTTCATGGAACATGATCTTTACTTAATATCCTAATGATGTTTGGCATAAAAGAAAAATCTATAATTTTGACCCATACAATGTATTGTTGGCTATTGCTACAAATATCCCCCAGCGACTTAAGACTGGTTTTGTGCTCCAGGGTCACACATTGTCATTGCCTTTGGCTTGTCTGAGGTGCCTGTCTGAAATATTATGTCACTGGTGTGGCTTGGGCTGGTAAGGAGCATTTCTGGTAATGCAGGTAATATGATCGGTGTTATGTGAGCTCTGTCTCTTTAAACAGTGTTTGTAAATATTGCCTGTCCCTCCCTCTCCACATTCCTCACTATGGGGGCGGGGCTTAGACTGCCACGTGTCACGAGCAACCAATCACAACTCCAGGTCTGAAAACTGACATGTCAGCAACCTATAGAAAACAACTGGTATTAGGAAAGCCCTTGAGGTTTGACTGGCGTTTTTAAGCTTCAGGATCTTTAGATAGTAACTCGTATTATTTTTATTTGCATATTTGTTCTAACACTAGCAGACATGTAATAATTGTATGGCGATTATTACACATTACTAGACAATATTGGCAATAGTAACATTTTAACTGCATGTATTTTAGGATTATGAGAGAGACAAATTTATAGATCAGGATATTATAAAGACTTTTTAAGTGGCCTCTTTTGATTTGTGTCAGTTATCTAGCAGCCATAAATCCTAGTAATCACTTAACAATGTGCTTGTACCTAATAAAATATTTTAGCAACAGACTAATTATGATCATAAATATAATTTTGCAGTGGACACTTTTCAGGCTGTGATGGCACGTTTCCACACGTATTAACATCAGAAATCTAGCAGTGTATATACTATACAGTATGTCAAAACAATGACACCTTTCCCATAATTCCGATATTGAATTATTACAGTGATATTACATATTGAGCAAGCAAAGTGTTCTGTCATTAACCGGGATGTTTCACAATCAAAAATGTTTACACACACACACACACACAGACACACACACACACACACACACACACACACACACACACACAGAAGGACTCTCCATAAACATATTGATTTTTATATGATTTGACCTTTATATTTAATCTCCTAACTCTAACCCTAACTCTATCCAAATCCTCACAGGAAAACAAAACTTCACTTAGTATTGATACTCTTTTCCTCACAGGGACTGAAATTTTGTCCTCACAATGTCAAACATTTCAAGTTTTACTATCCTTGTGGGGACATTTGGGAAAACATGAACCACACATATACAGGTGAATAAATCTGATGTGTTATATAATACATTTCTTTGTCCTGTCCCAGAATGATAATGTGCACAAGAAAACATAGACAATTACGGATTCATTGTGGAAATGCAATTCAAGTTTGAATTTAGGGAGGCAGAACTACAATCACATAACTACTGTATTTAATTTTAAATAATATTTCTCTACATATATTGTCACATGTTTGTTTCTGTTCTCCCGATTACGTTCCATGTGTTTATAAGCCCTGTGTTTTCCTCAGTTCCCTTGTCTTGTGTTGATGTTGTTTGGTGGTAGTGTTCTCCAGTGTTTCCTTTGGAATTACCAATGAAAGACTCTATTTTGGATTACTCCTTCGCCGTGTTATTTTTCCCTACCTAGTGTTTTGTTCTTGTTTTGATAATTAAAGACTCTATCGTGGACTACTTCCTCTCCGTGTGCTTCCTCCGCACCACGACCCGTGACAGAACGCAAGACCTCAAAACCTGAAAGTAAGCTGCGTCTTTTCCCCCATGTTTGTTTTCAGCCTTTTTTGAATAGTTTTTGTTTTCCTGTTTTTTTCCCCCACGGCATGGAAACGTTTCGCCACTCCAAAGACGAGCCCGCCGGCCGCGGCTCACTCCAGCCCGCCAGCCGCTCCGACTCCGAAGATAGGCCCGCCGGCCGCACCGTTGTCAAGCCCGCAGGCCGCTACGAAGTCAAGCCCGCCGGTCACCGCAATGGCAAGCCTGTCAGCCACGCCTTTCACCCCGAGCCTAGAGGGGAATCTGTGGAGGAGAAGGCGGTTGGTTCTGGTCCCAAGGTCGCCGGCCGCTAAGAAGTCAACCCCGCCGGCCGTGGCTTTCTCAAGCCCGCCGGCCGCCATTGACCCAAGCCCGCTGGTCACCGCAACGGCAAGCCCGCCAGCCGTGCCTTTCACCCCGAGCCTAGAGGGGAATCTGAGGAGGAGAAGGCGGTTGGTTCTGGTCCTTAGGCTCGCTCCAGTGTCGGCTCCAGCCCCAGAGCTCTCTCTAGTGTCGACTCCAGCCCCAGAGATCGCTCCAGTGTCGGCTCCAGCCCCAGAGCTCTCTCCAGTGTCGGCTCCAGCCCCAGAGCTCTCTCCAGTGTCGACTCCAGCCCCAGAGATCGCTCCAGTGTCGGCTCCAGCCCCAGAGCTCTCTCCAGTGTCGACTCCAGCCCCAGAGATCGCTCCAGTGTCGGCTCCAGCCCCAGAGCTCTCTCCAGTGTCGACTCCAGCCCCAGAGATCGCTCCAGTGTCGGCTCCAGCCCCAGAGCTCTCTCCAGTGTCGACTCCAGCCCCAGAGATCGCTCCAGTGTCGGCTCCAGCCCCAGAGATCGCTCCAGTGTCGGCTCCAGCCCCAGAGATCGCTCCAGTGTCGGCTCCAGCCCCAGAGGGCTCCAGTTCCCGAGTATAGCCCACGGAGGGCTCCTGTCCTTGTGTCCTTGAATCCCGTCCAGAGCACCCCCAAGGGATCCGCCATGGCAACCTGAACTGTCTGCTGCACCATGGCTCCCCGAGCTGCCCGCTCCGCCATGGGACCCGGATCCGGTACTGCCTTGGAGGCGTCCGGTCCAAGCCTGTCCTGTGGGACCTCGAAGGCGGGGGGCGATATCTGTCACATGTTTGTTTCTGTTCTCCCTGATTACGTTCCATGTGTTTATAAGCCCTGTGTTTTCCTCATTTCCCTTGTCTTGCATTAAAGTTACATCGTGGTTGTTGTCTCCCTCTGTTTCCAAGTGTTTTGTTCTTGTTTTGATAATTAAAGACTCCGTCGTCGATTACTTCCTCTCCGTGTGCTTCCTCCGCACCACGACCCGTGACATAATATAACACAGTTATCACATTTTATTATCCATAGACCTACTATCATACACACAAGTAAGTCTATTATTTTCAGAAGCATTACATAATATGAACAACAAATGTCAATAAAATAATCAATCACACCACCTGTATAAATGTGTATTTATTTATATTTGAATATTTAATTTCATTCCATTCATTACAATCCCATTTCTGCTCTGAGAAAAAGAACCCCTGTATAGTTTTAAAAAAGTTATCTAACTTCTCTAACTAGTTTAGTTGGGGGAAAGGATTAAAAATCAACTTTAAAATACAGTGTATTTCCTGAAGATAATGTGGTTCTCAACCTTTTTGCCCACAAGGCCCCCCTATAAGGAAATATTCCACAAGATGTTTTGACCTCAGAAAAGCATAAAAGTGATTCAAAACAAATTTTGCCATTGTAGTAAATTCCCATTCATAGCAACCATATGGGAGTGGAGTAACATATCTAAACTCTAAGGAGGAGAATGGGGTTCCTCTTATGGTTCCACATAGCACCTTTTGACACCATTGGCCTATAAAGATATGTGCTATAGCACTTAAAGTGGTTCCTGATTACAAGCCAGTGAACCACTTTTAGTGTATATTAGCACCATTTATTGTTTGTTTTGGAATCTGATAGAGCATTTGGCTCTGGAAAAATGCAGTGAAGCATGACATCAGACTTAACAAGCATATGATCTTTATTTTATGGACCGTGGTAAAAAATAAATAAAAGGACTTAATTTCCCAGAATGCTTTAATACCCCAAAAGTTTTTCAAATAGAGTCAAACAAACAACATGAAGCAGGTTTACAAGATGGAAACTTTTAACAGAAGGCCTACGTTTTATGTTCTTGCCCATTTTGCGTTGGACTAGTCAGTCCAGTCCAGTCACATTCTGGCGGTCAGTTAATTCAAAATGCAACATTGCTCTGCTTCTTTAAGCAATGTCAACTTGTGACTCAACCAACAGCGTGACTTTGGGGTGGGGTGGAAGGAGTGTTTGGAAAACCTGTTTGGAAACCACTATTGCTGCAGAAACTTCACACCACAGCTTTAAAGGGGTCATGAACTGGCTTTGTTTTTATTTAGTTTTGTTCTCTGAGGTCTGGTTGAATAGGCACAGTGGATTGTAGACCGCTCACTGCTATGATTGGCTAACAGTTGAGTGACGGTCTA